ATACAAACACATTGGAATACAAAAGTGCTGATGATTTGAGTCGGCAGCGGGCGTCTCATGAGAATGATTCAATTAGGTATCAAGGAATATCAAGCTAAGCGCTCGTGACAGTCTACTTCTTCATTAATGCCTCTTCGCCTTTCCCGTCACATCGTCTTCCTCACTGCTACTCAAGGTCGCCTCACTGCCGTTAACCCTGAAGCTGAAGTCCACCACACCGACCAGACTGCTGACCGCACGAACCAGTCCCTCCAGGTCGTCGCACACAAGCGAGCTGCATACCTGCAGCACCGCAAACTCTGTGTACCCATGCTGCTCCACATTCTTGACGTCAAGAATGCTTCCGCTGCCTGGCGGGCTTATCGTCTCCGCGAGCTCGGCCATGCCTGCCAGTGTTGAATTATCACTCGTGACGCTAGGCTTGCGAGTCGTCGAACGGACTTCCTCGCCTGTGTGCGTGTGGACAGTGACCAGCCTGTGCTCCAACTCGCTTCCCCTTCTCTGGATGCCTGGCTGCGGCTCAGGCTCAGGAGCGCGGAGATGGAGAAGCTTGCGAGTGAGTTCATTGGGTCGTGGGAGTTGCATGAATGGAGGCAGAGACTGGCCCGAGAGCAAAGAATTCGAGAGCAGGGTGAGCGTGGAGAGGATTGTGTGCTGTGTTGGCTCAATACCGGCGAGGACTTGGTTCAAGGCACGGAGCCACTGGCGATCGCTCGCTGATGAGGCGGTAGATGGTCTATCGCGAGGTTTCCAGGTAATTGTGTACGCGATCAGTGTCAGATAGCGCATGATGCTCGTAGAACGTCTGATGATGTCTTCGTAGGTCGCCCTGGGGAACTTGCCACCAATATCAGGCTCCCACTTTTGCCACTGCGCGTGGCTGTCCAGGCTAGGGAGCAGCAGCAACAGCTTGCCCAAGATGCGACGTCTCTCCTTCTCCATCTTCTGAGCGGGCGTTCCCGGCATCTTGATGTCTCCGTGGGTGTCGTTCATGGTGGCCTTGATGGTCTCTGTGATGACACTGAAGTAGTTGGCGAGTAGGTAGAGCGAAGCGCTGAGGTCCATGCGAAGCCATCTGCGATCCGTAATCGGAGAGGGGAAGACGGTCCAGATGAATGCGATCGCACATCCTGCAGCGACACAGGCAAGACGGTAAGGGGCCAGGAGGTAGGTCGGGTAGTACGGCTGTCCGGTGGCTGCAGCGGCGACCTCGCCAATCTTCTGAACTTGAAGCTCGTAGCCGATAATGAGGACTTGGGTGATGATCATGATGAGCCATACGGGCATGAACCTGGGGTACTTGAGGACGAAGTATTGTTCGATGAATGTGAACAACCAGAGGAAGACAATGACTCCGGCGGTTCTCTCCACGACGATGTACCAGATGATGTACGAGAAGATCATGGCGACGAGTGTTCCACCAACACGGCACACGAAGCCGAAGATGGACTGGCCTGCAGTGATCGTCATTCCGATGGCAATCATAATCATCGCCCAGACGAGACGCTGCTCGTTGAAGAAGGTCTGGGTATCCTTGAGGAAAGCCAGAATGCCGACAGTCATCGTCGCCACTGCCACACGGAAGCCAAACATTGATTCTCCAGAACCGACGAATGCCGAGATCTTTCGAAGCCTGTTGCCGAAATGTTGCCATGCGCCGTGCGCGGGGAGATGCTCGGGGTCTTTCTTCTTGTTGTACCCATCACCGGCGTAGACCACATTCGCCCCCATGTCCGCCATGTCCGGGTTCTGCTCTGGCGTTCCGTCCTGGGTGCTGCATGCTCCCCTCAACCACTTCATGATGCGCCTCTGCGAGGGGATGATCAAGCGCTTCTTGCCCATGGTTCCGTCGGCCACCTTAGAGTCAGCAAACATGACCAAGTCCTGAACCGCCTCACCAAGCGCAAGCATGAGCTTCTCCATGTAAAGCATGACATAGAGCTGTGTCTGGTCGCGCTCCTTCATCCTCGTCTCCAATCGCTTGAGGTGCAGTTCCTGTCGCTCCAGCTCAGTAGCCTCGCGTCTCTCTTTCAACCAAGCCTTAAGCATCTCTCCCTTCTTGTCGTTAAAGTCCTGGACCTTGTCCGCGAGAACCTGTGCAAACCCAGACTCGCCTGGCTTGGGCAAGGCCTTCGCCCCAGCCTCCATTTCGACATCGGCGGTCTTTGACTTCTTGGGTTTCGGGGTAAGTTCGAGCACGATACCCACGTGCTCCAGTCCTTGGTCCATAGCCTCGGTGAGGATTTCGAATGGCTCGTAGAGTTGCAGCATAATGTCGTTCCACACCTTTTGCTCCAAGGACTTTTCAATATCCGTGTCGCCACCCTCGTCGCTCGTACCCCATCCATGCTTCTCAGCCGCCCGCCTGAAAATGTCAACAATCGTGCTGATTCCATTCAGTGGGATCATAATGCTCCGCAGGCGGTTGAAGATCTCGCTCATGTCCTTGGCATCCAACTTCCCGTACGCGATATCTCTCTTGGCAAAGACCATGTCTCCATGCATCTTTCCGAACAGAGCCGAGATAGCTAAAGCAGTACCCTTCAACTCTCCCGCAGCCCTGGCCTCCTTCGTCATCTCGGGCCCCTTCGGCTTCTTCCTGAAAGCGCTGCTTGCTCTTGTCGGCTCGCGTTCCAACATGTCATCGCTGGACAGAACCTGCAGGTAGTTCAATTGCAGTCTGATCGACTTTCTGACCAACCCGATCGCGCCCTTGAATTCAGCACTGACAACCTTTCGGCTGGACACTGGGAAGATGAAGAGGGCGACACCGGTAGCAATTCCCATAGCAGAGAGCATAGCCACCAGAAGTCGTCTCACGAATGACTCTGCGGACGCGTTTGTCACCATGAGCGGCCCGAAGGTGCACGCGACGTTCATGAAGATGGAGTAAATCATGACGGGGAGATTCATAGCCGGATACTTTGCACGCAGCGTGTTCGAGATCCAGATGTTAAAAAACAGCCAAATGCCACAAACAGCCGATTGGCTGGAGTTGTAGATGGGCAAGCCGGTGGCCAGCTCTTCCGCTGTTGCGGTGTTGTGTCGCGCTCGGACACCAGTCCACAGGGCCAGCATTGAGATCGCGGCACCGATGCAGATTCCCGACACATTGAGGACCAGATTCTGTAGATACTTGCCTCTCGGAAGAATAGCGAGAGCGAGGACTGAGATAATGGGCACGAGGTAGCCCAGGGTGGTGAAGTATTGCGCAACTGGTGTCGATTGGTAGATGCTGATACCAATGATCGGTGGTAATGAGCCCTTAAACATCATCATGACTGTTGGCACATCGAGACCGAGTCTGGTCATCAGATTGGGCTTCGGAGGCGGCTTCCTTGCTGCACTGGCGCTCGTCGCGTTAGTCGGCGCCCGCGTCGGAGCCGCAGGACCAGGCTCCGGCGAGGGGGTTTCCCGGTCGGCATCGGGCTGCTGTTCATCGGTACTCATATTTTCGGGACCATCGGTCGCGACAGATTGGGATGAACTCGAGTTCACCTCTTCTCCGACGGATCGGAGAGTCGAGCGTCGTCGCATGCCGGGCATCTTGATGAGATGAGGTTAAGTTTTTCAGGCCCGAGGCCCGGTGTTGTTTTGTCTTACCTGATGATGTAATTAGCGGAGATCGCCGCCCTTCAACTGGCAAGACATTGCCGACAGAGTTTGCGCTAGCGCGACGTTTTGTGGACTTTTTACTCGTTTTCGTTAAGACCGGATGGAGATTATTAGGAACTAAAATAGCTGGCGAGTCAATCAACCACCGACTTGGCCGATTCATGCCCTGAGGGCACGGGCCTTCATCTCATCTCGTTGAAGGGATGAGGCAGATGAGATGGCCGCCGGAATGGTCGCATAGGGAGCCGTTCGGAAGATTTGGCAACTTGAGTTGGGGATATCGACGTTGGAATCAACCTTAGATGGACTTCAAATGCCTGAAAGATCATCATCAAAGTCGATGTTAACTCACAGGCCTCTTCATCCAAGTGAGCAGACCATCGGACGCGGCAGAACTTGACATAGCACGGTGCCTGCGAGCTATCGAATCAGGGAATGACTGCAACAAGCCAACAGCAACTTCTTTCAGCAGCGAACTTGACTACGTTGATTCCCTTTCAGCTTTAGTCGACAGATTTGACATGAACAGGAAACAAAATGAAAAGATGTTGCCGTCAATATCGAGGCAATGTAGTATCGGCCCATGGAGGATTCTAGCTCGGTCCAACGTGTTATTTGCATGCAAGATCCCTGTAGGTCAGCCCTAAACCGGCCGCCTATTCCCCGCCACGTCAGTGTGCTGAACCGTCTCTTTTGCCTGGCAAACTAATGCCGCGTGGCCGTGGAAGCCGTGGAGTTTTGTCCTCGCAGACTGTGATGTTTCTTTTGGCGATTTCCTGTCGATTATTCATAATTCTCTGATCCTCAGCATGTACGCCTCAGCTGTCCTTCAAACGAACAAATGCTGGTTTTGTTGCTCTAGGTTCCACATGACACTGAGCTCTTCTCAATCTGAACCCACACATCCGCGCTCAACTGTCTATGAATGAGGAGCAGGGGTCAGTGATCAACCCCGCAGGTTCCGGACGAAACAGTCCGTTGTCTCCCTCCACTGTTTAAGTTAGTTGTATTCTTCCGCTGTCTTTTCTCGCATTCGATTTAGGTCAACATCACATTCCATCTCAAAGTTGGTCTCAAATTTGAATATAAAGCGCAGATCGAAGTCATTGCGGAAGCCCAGGAAGCGTCGTTCTTGAAGTACACGCGCGACACGAAAATTGCCAACTCTCTAGCTTGTGGGATGTCTACTCATGGACGTCTACACAGCCATCCAGAGGTATCACCAAACAGCCCCTTTTTGTAGATACACCTTAATATCAGGTTTACCCATAAGGAAACTAGCGCAACACGACGCTCCACCCTTAGATAATCAAACAGAAAGCCAGTGAACGAGCTTCTAACTCAAGTGAACGAGTTTCCGCATACAAACCGCCCACCGACACCCCTCAGAAGTCTCGGTAACGAGTTTCGTACTTCAAATCAACCACGTCTTCAGGGTTGATAGCATTGACCCTCTTGCTCCTAATGTCCGTTCCGTCCAACAGTTGCTGGTAGAGTGGGGCGAACTCCCTCGAAGTCTGGAGATGCGCCAGGCCGAGGAACTGTTTTTTGTCTTCCAAGTTGACGTGGTGCTGAACTCGATAGGATAGGTAGATTTCGTTGAAGCGTATGTTGGCGTCTAGATTATCGCGGGCAGTCACAGTGGCCATGCTGAACAAAGCTCCTTGAGTTACAGCAGGAGCTGCTCGCCGACCCATATCTCCCGAAGCACCAGAACACATCGTCCAAGAGCTGTTTGGGATGCCATTCTCCAGTAAGTACGGCGCAGTTGCACGGTATGCGTCTGCGATAAGATTGTTTAAATTCGAAAATTCACAACGAGTTCAGCTTATGTTGGTAGCTATTCACATAGATAAGTTTCAAAATTGATCTTCATAATCTCATGAAGTGCAGAAGTGTCGAGATTAATCAGGCTAGTCTCCCAATAAAGACCACCCGCTGTTCAAAGTTGGTATCAGTCACGTGTCCTCGAAGCAAATACCAGAGGCCGCCTCAATCAACAATGGTACCTAAGGGGTGAAGAAGTACTCACGAGACGCAAAAACATGCTGAAACGGCGGCAGCTTGCCGGCGCGAACTTGATCAACGATACCTATAACAGATTCCTCAGATGCGATGTCCGCTTCGGTGATCGTGATTCCATCGCGGGTTCCAACGTAGTTGAATATCTTCTCGGCGCTTGTCTGATTACGGACAACAGCAATGACTTTGCGCTTAGCTTGGAGGGCACCGATAACGGCAGATACTCCGATGTTTCCGGATGCGCCGAAGTCAAGAACCGTTTCTGCCATCGCTATAGTCAACAAATGGGTCGTGCTTTTCAGATCAAGTCCCAAAGGTGGTCGGAACAGACTGTCCGAGCAGGATGGGCAAGGCTTAGGAATCCATTTATACTAAAATGCTCACCGACTTTCACTTTAATTGAACGTGTTTGTTTACCGACAAAGATTGCATTCAGCATGGGTTCGCCGTCATTCTTAGACGCGAGGTGATATCAAGTATGGCTCTGGGCTAGACGAAATGGTAATGCTGTCCGAAACGAGGACGGCTTCTGGATCGAATTCTTGTGCCGAGTTACATAATGCGGATAGAGAACCAATCAAATGACTCCCACAGCTGGAGAAATGCATTCAATCGGGCCATCAAAGACGACTAGTGAATCTCACTGCAGATCTAGAGGAGTATCAGGCTGGAAACCCCGCCTTTAAAACTGTACAGTTGATATTACTGGTTCATTTCCTGACAACGATGTACGGTGGGTAGCAATGACGGCGCATTACCTTCCTGTTCGGTATTCTTCATTGAGATGCAAGTTTGTCAACGGCAAGCGCAGGAACAATGCAACACCGACCGCGCACTGTGTGTGATCTCGAGTCGCTCATTCGTCGGGCCAGGGTTTCTTCGATTTCCACATCCAGTCTGTGCAATTCACGAATCACGACGTGCCCAAGGCTGGATTCCGTTGCTTACACACGCCATAACTTGGAGCTACTCTCAACGTTAGCAAAATCGTTGTCAAATTTACGACTCTTTCGAATGCATAGGAACGATTTGCTTTCCGAACGCAATCTCCTAACTACGTAAGTGGGTAGGAATAATATACTCAACAAAAGGAACGACAAAACAGGGGCAATGGTAGAAAATATTCAAAGAAGCCGACGTCAATAACTTGAGGAGAGTTTTTCAAATAGTTTAGAATGAAATAAAGTTCATGACTAGCGAATCACGGCCTAAAAGATCGAAAATCTTGAACCTGGAGTATCGAATTTGCTGGCTGGGCTCCTCACAGTACACAGCCATTATGGTTTCAGTTTCATTCTTCAATATAGCTCAAAACACGACGAGAGATTAGTTTCGAAATGTATACCACAAGTATATTTTGTCAAGTGATAACGATATGTTCATGGTCATCGAAGGTCAACACGCAGTGTTGTTCAGTAAACATCCACCAGTGCAAGAGATCTATTTAACAAAGACCTACATCATCTTTGCCTTCAATAGGACCAGCCAATACTATTAAATGAAGTCTGCTGGTCGAAATACAGATTGTGATTTTTCTCTGGGTCACAGTGAATGTTCTGAACCATAGCGGGAATCGTTGGAGGCCAGTTACAATAGTGCTACCGTTGCACAACGGTAGCGAAATTCTTAACGTTCGATGTTAGGCCATGTGGACCCATTCGATCGGAGCACATTGATTCTCATTAATACGGGACTAGTTCTTTGTGAACAGTTAAATAGCCGCCTCTGACGTATCGGTGGAGGCCCCGTTGATGTATGATCATTAACAGGCATTTCGGTGTAGGTGGCTCGGACATCACACCTGTCCATCTTTGGACGGAAGTGACTCCTCCTAGGTGTAGCTACTTGCCGCTCAGTCTCGAACCTCAATGTTCTAGAACTGGGGGTATTGATGGCAAGAGAGTGTTTAGTGAGCGGTACCAAGATGTTTTCTTGTTCTTGCTTGAAAGCGATTCTCTAGACATATGCCACAAGTGCTCACTGTCGAAATTTTGCGTACGACTCTTTTCTAAAATAATTGAACGGGTATTCACGATGTATGTGGCCATCGTTATGACTGTTCTCTGCCGACCGTGCGTGGCCCTTCCAGCTTATCCTTCTTATCCGGCCAAAGCACACAATCTCCGCCCCGTTCGGCCCCAGAGACCTTATCGGTTATGCTGCTCAAATTATCCAATCATTCCTTCAACTGATTTGCAATGACACAGTCCTCACATCGAGCGCGATATACCCAAACCCAAGCTGAACCGTCGACGGTGTACTTGTATCTGTTGACACAAGGGTAGCGGTCCATGGCACACGTGTTTTGAGGGCCGATGAGGTGATGATTAGGCGAAATCTTAATGACTGAGCTTAAAGAATTGAAGAGACCATACCTCTGAGAGTAGATGAGAACATTGGAATTCATCTTTTCTTAAAGCTTTTTCATATTCTATTTCATTCCTTGGCTATCGATTTACTGCGCTTGATCAGATCAGGCATTGAAGTGCTCAAGGGTTAATTGAATCTTGGGCATTTTTTCATTGCTTTCCCATCAACTCTGCCATATGTTGTTGTGTAATTTACACCAAGCGCTGCCTCAGGGAGACCAGCTGGCCCCGCTTGCGTCCACGTCAATTTTATGGGCTTGAAGCTTGGCTGGAGCTACCTCCGAATCCGTTGCTCTCGCCTGATCAATAGACAATGAAATACACATGTTTTGAAATATCTTATTTGAGACGATGAGCCTCTTCCCCGCTCCTCCATAGTGGTGGCAGAAACATCGTAGACAGCCCCTCCCTAACATTACCAGGGTCTGGGATACCCCTAATCACTGTCGGACACCGCCCTACCACCCTCACCCTGCTTCCCATCCTTATACGTATCTTGCTTCCACCTATCAGCGATGTTAATCGTTCCTTTGAACATCTTGCTGCAGCATGAGTCCACGTCCGCTAAGCATGCAGCTACCGTGTGTGCCAACCAGCCTGGCACGCCAAGAGTTCATACCATTCCCAAGATCTTGCAAACCCAAAAACACACCCCCAAAAGAAGGATAATGTGTAAGTAATCATATAAGACTAAGAGCTGCGTAGTGTTTTGTTTCTTTTCCTCTCCGAATCCGAAACCAAGATCAAGAGACAACTTTGATTAACGATGTGTCAAGGAAACCATCACACTCGGCAACATCCATGATGAATCTAGTCACCCGTAAGCACACAGTTTCCACATCCGACCTAACACAATCTCAGAACTGCAAAGTCTTGCTGGCCACGACTGAGATTTTGAAGGCTTACAGGGTCACTTTTCAATCGCTGGTTGAGCTGCGCGTGCGAGGAGACTTTGTCTCAAGGCACGGCATGGGAGACTACGCGTACTGTGCTAAGATTGCGATCGATGAGAAGGCAGGTAATGAGATGACGACTTCTGAAGATTATCTTGCATTCTAAGTAGACGTGTTTCATAGCTGTGTCTTTGACTCTTGGCAGTTCACTCGTCCGCACAACCAGTGTTAGCTCCTGACCCCTCAATGAGATACATCTTACCTCGCTGCGTCCATTCTTAAAATGTCAAGTCGTTGACCTTGAGATCGTTTTCAGCAATGACAAGCAGCGACTGGTAGTAATATGCCTCATTACTGGACCCCCCAACCTGCGAGGGCACCCCGTGCTGTCCACTCAGATAATCGTACGTACTAGTGACCGTAATTACACCATCGCCCGACGTCTGCGTGGCCCTCGTACTCTGATTGTTTCCCTGGTTATCATTATACCAAGTTGCAAGATCAGGCACAGGGTCGAATGTGAGGTTCGTCGAGTTGTCACCCTCAAACGGAATGTCGTAGTAGACTGTTGTGGTGTAGACTATGGTATTGGTAGCGGGGTCCTTAAGGTTGATCTGGATCGCCCAGCCGATACCATTGTACTCGTGCGAACTCGCGACATTAAAGTCTGCATACTGGACCGAAGGCGGGCCAGCGACGCCAGGGATCCCGCTGGCGCGTGTGGCGCCTTTGATAGTGATCGGAACGTTAGTCTTCTGGTCCAGCGGTGCAGACGAGAATTGGCCCTCATTACTACCAGACTCACTAATGAAGACGCAGATCCAGTCGAGGTCATATTTGGTTAGGTTCCAGAGGCGGAGGTTATGGTACGAGTTGTGTAGGACGAATGACAGGGCGATAAATACGACTGCTACTGCGACTGCGGCGCCGATGAATCCTATTCCTCCTGCGATCGCGGTGGCAGTGGCGTCAGCGGCAGTGTCTGCAACGGCTACTTCGCCAGTCTGGGAGATTTCTTGCTCGCCGAGTCTTTGAAACTCAATCTCGCTTTGCTGGAGGGCTTCACCCCCGGCGACGAGGGACCGGAACGCGGAGCGGATGGCGTTTCCGACGACAGTGGCGACGCTTTTGAGGCAGTTCAATATCAACGGCATAAAGATCTTGGCTGGGATCGTACCAGCAGCTGCCACGCCGATGTCCCAGGAGATCTCGGACAATTTCATGTTGGAATAACCAATAGTCTTGACCGCGGTGACGACGCCGGTGTAAGTCACACCATTGACGGTCCACGTATTGTCATTATGCGTGATGTTTTCATTGTCGAGTTTTAAGCCTTGAAGGGCAATCGTGGCGTAGTATGTCTTCCCGGAACTATCTCGCTCGTTGACGTAGTAGACAGGGTGGCCTTGACCGTCAGTGCCTGTAGTCCAGGCGTCCCCGCCCCTGTTGCCGATGGTTTTGTAGATCTGAGCGACGGCGTTGACTTGGCCAAAGTAATCTCCGGTGGAGTTGCCACCCTGAGCTCCTTGAAGAATGGTCTGGTAGAGAGCGTCGGTGGAAAGGAGATTGCTGGTGGGACTGAGAGGAGTGCTTTGGCGGGCAGCGCCGAGGGAAACCTGTGGGTTGGGCATTGTGTGGTTGTGAATATTTGATGACTTGGAACGAGAAGCGGTTGATTTATGACTCGGAATTGAAAGTGACTTTCGTTGTCAGCTGTAGAATAGGCCTGATAAATTCGGGAGAGGGAATGACCTCTTTATATGCGGCCGATGTGTTGCTCAGTACTTCTGGAGCAGGTGGTAGTAGGCAATAGGTGCCACGAAACTTGCTGCAGCGGTGAAGACTGTTAGCAGTTCCAAGGGTAGATATGTTAAGTGTCACACGCCCGTTACGCCCTCTACAGATACTACTGCGTTGAGTGACCAAGATAATAGCCGACTGGCTGTGTTCATCAAGTGAAAATACATCCAGCTAGCCACAGCTATCTCATTATTTACGAAACCGTCCAGAAACTGGAGAGTTGCATAGATGTTCCGCTAAAGAATTTAGTCACCGACACTGACGCAACTTGATCTCCAGAATCCAGATATCTCTTACCCTTTAAGTGCCAATAGCTAATAAAGCTGATTGTTAGTCCAAGACATCGACCCATAAACATTAAATGGGCCAAGCCAATGTCTCTGGGCTATGGTTAGGCCCTGGTGGTTGGTTACTGTAAGGGGCTGGCCCCTAGGCTTTTTCAACGTAGAGGTGCTGTCGATTGACTATTCTAAGCTGAAGAAGGAGGAAAGGACTTTACAGGGATAGGCGCCTAGCAGCAGTGATGCAGACTGGGGCTAGGCGGTGTGCTACAGCAGAATAGTGGATCCGGCGGAGCTGGATCTCGGTAGCTGCTCCGGCAAAGCTGGAGATCTCGGCCGGGCTCTAGCCCGTTACAGTTACTCAGCTATGGTAAATTCCGTTTGCGGAAATGGTGGCATACCCACCTGTAAACTATCCAAGTAGTTAGTTTCTGGGTTTATCCGTCGCACACTGTTTGAGTACACTTCCAAGAACTACCGAGGCCTAGGGCCGCATATCTGTCTTGCAGTGACTGGTTGGCGTTTCCGAAACCAATTATTCAAGTATTTGGACGATTATGTATCAAAAAAATGATGTGGACTCGATACTCAGCAATCACCGGAACAGCTATGCTGAGCTCCACTGTTAGACTAGCATGGTGCATACGTCATCGGCTGAATTGCGGATTTGCGAATCGTACGGCATGAGAGCAGCTAAGAACCTTTTCCCTGTATTGGCGGCTCGAAACGCCTTTTTTTGGACATGGATCCGGAGAACCCCAAAGGGTTGTCATAGGAATGAATAGTGTCTCGATAATTTCAATCGCAGCCTAACGGTCTTATCAATCTACGTGGTCTTGTGGTCCTCTATGTTGGACCTGAGAGTATCAAGGGATGGAACTGTTTTTGGTGCTACTAGTTGGATCCTATCATATGTAGATATGTCCAACGAATTGCTTTTACGTGTCTCTTGTGGTATTGCACTTTTTGCTTCTCAAAGGCCGGGAAATCTTAGTGCTACGAAGCCTCCGCTGATAGCTATCGACAGCGAGAATAGAAACCTGAGCAGCTTCTGTATCCGTGAGTGTAATTCAGCTGTCCCGGCGGAAGTCCATTTCTGATAGGAATCAAGGTCAATACCAATGGGTCTTTTGTTTTGGAAAATCAAACTTTGTGCTCTTGCCCCCGTCGTTGTCGCTGCTATCGTCGCCTTCATTGTGTATGATCATTATTTGCCCGAACAGAAAAGCTCAATCTGAAAACCATCATATATCCCAGCTGGAGTCTCCCTATGTCCCAAATCGGGAGAGCTTCTACTACAACCAGATACATGTAGATCTAGCTTGCCCTGCACACTGGTTTGCATCTCTTAGCCCCCTGAACTCTGATGTCAGTAGGTCTTCTCATGCATTAATCATTCTTCGCGCGCAGTTTCAAGTGCTTATGAATTCTTAGAGTCATGGATTCTTGTGTGAAGTACATAGATGTGGAAGCGGCTTCTACGTGGGGATCAAACAACTGTCTTACAGGTGGTAAAAACCGATAAACAAACTGTCCGAGATAGAGCATGATTCTGAAGGGACATGTATGGTGAACGCAATCGAGCCCAGGCTTGGATAGCAGCAGCCAGCCTCTTGTCAGGATCTGTGGAGAACAGCTCCCAGGCATCTTGATGCGATGGGCTCCTCACTAGTATAAGCGAATGTCACATCATGCAGTGCCATGGCATCTCAGATTATGGACGAGAGTTAGGACTTCAAGTCTGGGCAAGATATCTTCTACTACTGTGTCTGGGATCTTGAAGAGACTTCAAAGAGACTGCTTGTGTTCCATTGTCTGTATCCTCGATTATGATTGTCGCCCTCATCGAAGTGCACAGAATGTAGCCGCCCAGACGTAATAAAATCAGTCGGTGTTATATTAAACCACTTTCCGACTGTCACTTCCAGGTCATCTCAATTAAAACTCAACCCCTCCCTCCCTCTGCTCGGTAGGTGGACCCTCAACTACAGACCATCGCCTTTAAACGCTCCTTACAAGCAAAGATCATTTCCCATTCTTTCTTGAAACCTTTCGCATTTCTTTGGAAGACAGAAATTTCCGAATATCATTAACTAAGTCATCGGGACATTCGAGAGCTGGAAAGTGACCGCCATGTTCATGCTGGCGCCAAAAGATGATGTTTGCAAGTTGCTTGGCCCAGTCCTTTGGACACTACAGACTCAAAGTTAGCGAAGTAAACACAACACATTTGTTTGACTTGTACTGACTGGCAGGATCTCTCCGGGAAAGAGGCTCACGCCCGTGAGAACTGAGATGCCCGTCAAAGGCTTTGTCAGCTTCCCGCCTATCTCCAAACGCCTCTCTGAAGAACCGCAAACCTGGGGTTGCCCCTTGAATCCAGTGCATCATGACCAAGTTGATGATGTCGTCGTTGCTCAACGCTTCGGGTACATCGACCCAAGATTGAAGCTTCTCCACGAACCACGCCAGCAGACCGATGGGGGAGTCGCCTAGTGCAAAGCCCAAAGTCTGAGGCCGTGTTTCCTGCATGTCGATGTATGCGCTCTGGTCTCTGTGAAAGACACTGCGAGTCTTCAAAAGTCTCTTTTCGTATTTTGAGTAGAGTACGCCGGACATACGCAGGCGAAGATAAGCAAAGGGCGCGGCACCGAAAGCTGGGGTGGGCGCCGGGAACGTATTGAAATGTTGCGCTCGTATAACACTGGGGTGCTGAATTGCCATCCAGCGAGTGATGAAAGCGCCAAGATCGCCTCCCTGAGTTACGAACCAGGGGTAGCTCAAGACATCAGTCATCAAGACTTTGAACGCACGAGCGACCACTGCAGGGCCGACTCCAGACCTCAAGGGGGCAGGTGAGAAGCCAAACCCAGGGATGGATGGCACTATAACGTGGAATGATGGGAAATCGTCGTTTTCGGTATCGGTCGTAGTCAATTTCTCAACGACCTTGCTAGCTTCAAGAAAGGAACATGGCCAGCCGTATACAAATAAGAGCGGGATGGCGTCCGGGTTGGGCGACGTAGTGTGGGTATAGTGCAGCGTGACCAGGCCATAATCAGGAACTTGAATTTTGACAAGGAAATGATTAAACGTTTTGTTTATTCGCTCCTGTGCCTAGTCAGCCTTACAATCATGAAGAGAAAGTGATAGAGTTAAGACGCGGGGAACCTGCCTCCTGGTCTTTCCAGTTGTACTCATTTCTCCAATATTCTGCCAGTTACCGAATGCGTGCAACCTTTGCACCTTGAGACCAGTCATCATCAGTGAAATCCGTTTGTTCTTCGGGAAATCTGCAGTAGAGAAGCTTCTGCTCCGTGACTTTCAGAAGCTCCGAATCGATGGTGACGGAAAATGGGGTTGGATGGTTTAGCTCGAGTTGGCAGTCTTCGACAGGAAGCTTGGGCAACATCATGCCCCGACCAGCTGCTCGGTCGCTGCTCCTATGTTTGTGGTGCCAGAGTTGTAAAAAGATTGCTCGATTTGGAAGGTGGGTGAGTTTGAATAGGTAGAAACTCCAAATACCTCCCCGGGACAGAAATGCACAGTTAGACAAAGGGAACGTACCATTTACTCCGAAGATCCGAGTGCAAGGTTCTGGGGGATCAAACTATCAATACATGAATCAATGTCACTGTCAACAACCTGTAGCGCTGGTGATACTTCTGTTGTTCCTGCGTTTCGGTCTGCTCTATTCCCTTCGCATTGAGTTGGCTTGCCGTTGTCCCGCATAATAGACCAGCCGAGCCAATGACGGCCACGATTCGGAGTCGCAAATCAGACGAGCATGTTCAGACAGAAGCTGGCGCCAGCAAGCAGACCGTGGGGAGATGAGAAATTCATGCAGCGCACTTGGTGCATCCTTAGTAATCGCCCTCTGAAGAAAGGATGAACCACTTCAACTCAAGAAAAAGATACCGCCTCGTGAGGGACCTGGTGCACTAGGCAACGTCACCTGATCTACTAAACTGCAGTGATTGAGGGTTTCCACAACTTTGACTATCATCCAGACTATGTCCATCCTTTACTACCTACGCCTGGCGCTTGCGCTTGCACTTGCACTTCCAGAATCCGGTCCCCACCCGACCGATCGGGGCCGGCCGGCATCCGACCCCACTCCGGCTTGTATGTTTGGCTCTTGGTGTCGACCGGCCCGCAAATTGTCATCCGGCCGAGACCGATTTGTAATGTTTTCAGCCATCAACCCCGCAGCAACAAGACACGCGATTATCGAGTCTTCATGACGTATTTCTGATGAGCAAGAACAGACTACGCACCTTGAGAGTTTGATATATACCGGGCCAACGTCCGGCTGATATTTCTCAATGGCCTCCTCACCCAATTCCCTTCACTCTCCATTACCATCGATACGGTGTCTTTTTGTCAAAATATCCAAACATGAGTGGGAAAGAATGCCAAGCGCTTGTGGTTGAGGCGCCTAACGGTAAACCATCGTTGGTCAGGAAGTCAATCCCGATTCCCGTGCCGGCATCCAACCAGGCTCTTGTCAAAATCTCACACATCGCACAGAACCCTACAGACGGTAAGTACATGACCCCAATTTTAGAAAGTGATGCATAATTCTCAGATCGGCTCTAGTCCAGTCTTTTGACGGGAATGCCTTTGGCGATGGTGCGGTTCTGGGGTGCGACTTTGTCGGAACAGTCGAAGAGACAGGTGATCAAGTGAACAAGCTCAAAAAGGGCGACACCATCGCTGGGCTGATTTGGGGAGGTATGTAGCCTTGGAAGCTTAATATAGACAAATCTGACTGTGGCATAGGAGAAATCAAAGGCATCGGAGGGTACAGCGAGTACACTGTGGCCGACAACAACATCAGCTTCCGGGTCCCAAAGAACATCAGCCTCGAGGAGGCGGCCACGTTGCCGCTTGCTTCCATGACATCATGGCTTGCACTGTTCTCCAAAGATTGTCTCGCGATTCCTCGAGACGGAGGAAAAGATACATCTGTTCTTATTTGGGGCGGTAGTTGTGAGTCTTTTTCCCAAACATCAGTATGCATGCGTTTCGACTAATAATAAATAGCGAGTGTCGGACTTTATGCAATTCAAATTGCTGCACTCCACGGGTTCAAGGTCATCACAACGTGTAGTCCACCCCACTTCGACCTTGTTAAATACCTTGGCGCGAAGCATGCCTTCGACTACCACGACGACGATATTGTCGAGTCCATCAAGCAAGCGGCACCTGGTCTCAAGTACGTCTTCGACACCATCGGCAACAAGTCCTCTTCAGGCTTGGCGTCTCGAGCAATCGATGAGAGAGGTGCCGGCGGCCTTTGCACTGTAAGACCCGGAAAGGCAAACACTGAGGATGTCACCAAGCAAACTAAGGTGACGGATGTGCTTGTCTGGACTGCCTTCTTGAAAGACCATCGCTACGGCAGTTTCCATTGGCCGGTAAGCTGTCCTCTCCACACGCGCACACCGTGGCATATTTTGCAATAACTGACCAAAATAGGCGCATGAGGCAGACCACCAGCTTGGGACTGAGTTCTTCGAAAAGCTTCCGGGTTGGGTTGAGGAAGACAAGATCAAACCTAACAAGCCCAAGGTTATTCCCGGTGGCCTTGAGGGAGTTCATAAAGGATTCCAGGAGTACCGTGATGGCAATATTTCCGCTACGAAGCTCGTGTATGCGCTTTGACATTTTTCTGATGGGTTAGAAGGCATCATGCTCGGCGTTTGCTCGGCATGTGTCGTGGTCTGATGTTGCCGGCCGAGTGATATGGAGGCGGATCGTCAGCAAGCACATTCAACTGTCATTGAATCAAGTTCCCGAACGTAGAAGACTAAACGGAGCATCGGAGTCAAATCTGGGACTAGAAAATCGGGTTTGCTAGAGACAAGAAGTTGAGAAAACAAAAGTAATCATCATTCTGCTCTCCTGTCGCTTGTCATCAATCCTACTTTCACCTCTTCAGCCGGTGTGTCTGCTCGATACTTCGTAAGATTCTCATCCTCCGCCACTGCAGTTTTCTGAGGCGCATGATTAAGAAGGACTGTCTTGCTCCCGTTTGCGCTGCTCCATTCCTTGCTCGACATGGCCAGGTCACTGCTCTCAGGGTATAGAATTGTTGTGAGAATTCTGCCCACAGTGAGTTGCTGAAGGCGACGTCGAAGAACATTAACAGTCGATGATTGAGAGATTGAAGTCACGAGCAAGACGAGTATGATTGACAACATGACCAACAGTAGAAGGAAAGCCGGGATTCCGAACGCGTAGTGATACTTGATCCTCCGTCCGAACACCTGGATAGAGATTTCGACGGCCTCTTCAGGCACGTTATTGATTGAGCCCAGCGTCCCCTTCGTTCCAACCACCGCTGAAGCCGCAAGATCGGTCCATAGAAGCTTGATGACATTTGAGATGCCAGTCGCATCCGCAGAAAGAGCCTGCCACCGTTCAAATATGGGCATATTCGACGCACCAGCCAGATCGAATGGCCACTCCTTGTTAAGTGCCCCTTGATTCGAATTGTAAGGGAAGAGAAGTTTCATCACACTTGATGGAAAGTCGCTACCGGGTAAGTTATACGTCGTTGACCCGAGAGAGGGTTCAAGCTCGCTAAGTGAAAGAGAGGCGGAATATCCTGGAATATGGAACTCCCGCTGCTTGACTGTTGAAATGTTAGGCCGAGAAGCGTACTCGGGTGAGATTATCCCCCAGATCGAACTGATGCCATCCATACTGAGGCCAGAATCTTCCATGCCCCAAAGCGGGTAGTCCTCGGGGCTGCCGTAGTTCTTTGGCATGATGGACGTGGCCTTAAGACTGCTGAGTCCGTCAGTGCCGTTGGCGGTAAATGTGACTGTCTTTACTATTGCCCGCACAGCCGCAGCGCAAGAGTGAAGGGGAGAAGACCATTTGCTGTGGTTCTCATACACAGCCAGCTTGCTACCGCCATCAACCCTCTGGGGCACACCGCGAAGCAGGCCGCATCCAACGTAAATGTGTGAGATGTTGGCTAGGTCTGCGTTCCCGGCGCCGCTGCAAAGTATCTCAACGTCTGAGAAGTTTCTGTCATCGACGCCGAATGGGTTTGACCAGTTTGCAGCTGGGTTTGCACCAATAGTAAAATGGTTTAGATCCAGGTAACTGCCGAACCTGCCGATCCCGAGCCCTCGGTAGCTTGTAAGAACGTCTACGTCGAGCGGGAACCCTTTCCCCAGGTGGGAATTAACGTATGACCATGCCTTCCTGCCGACAGTTTTGTTACTCGTCGCCGTCACGTTCAAATATGCCATAGTCCAAAAGTTGTTGAGCCAGGCTCCTTTGTAGGCTCTTCCATCCAAGTCTGGATTTGCTTGTGTGTTCTCGCTGTTGTAGAATGGGTACGTGCGATTGATGTTTACGAACCCCCCGCGGTCGGTGAGTCTGAGATTGTCAATGCTCGGAGAAGGAACGGTATAATTGACTTCGAAGTCGAGCGTCAAGTTCAGCCCAACGCAACTCGTGATTGGCTCAATAAACAGCAGGTCCTCGGACCAGCTAGCCCCTTGATCGATGTTGGTGGGTATGGTATGGTTCCGGAAACCGATACCACCATTAGCCGCGTCAACAATCAGGCCTTCAACGACCTTGATGCTCGGGTCCATGATGTGGCTCTCTAGCTGGCGGTATGCGCCGACAGCAACCTCGGTGCCGTTATCGACGAAGGCCCGTCTCCTGGCTGTAAGCTGCCGCCATTCAATGTCGAAGAAGTTTGAGATTGTCGTGCGGCCTTTTGTTCCGCTGGAGAATATTTCCTTCGCGGTGGGGTTGATTTTGGAATC